TCGCGGTTTGAGGAAGTTTGAGACAGTGCCCAAGTGGTGGTGGGTCCCACCCAAGGCTGCTGCACAAGCCAGGCAGGCTCTGAGCTAGGAGGGGACATGCAGAGGGGACACACAGACACAAAAGACTCTGACATGGNAGGGGTGGGGGGAATGCAGCCACCATAATCCTCACCCTCCATCCAGGCCTGCCCTAGGACAGCCAGCGGGGCTTTTGTCCCCTGCCACAAAAAAGGGCAAACAGAATGAGGACCCCTGGATTCTACGGTCCCCAGTCACCCAGCAGCCCCCATTGGGCCAGAGGCCATTCCTGAGGCCAGAAGGCCCAACTAGGGTTCTGTTCCCCCCTTTCCAACCCCGGCCAGACCAGCCTGCCATGAGGTTTTTCTGCCCTCCAACCTCTCCCTCCACTGCCACCGGTGCCCAGGTCACCTCTGAGCCAAGACCCCTGAGCTAATGGGCATAATGGGTTCATTAAACAAGCAGGGGTGCTGCCAGCAAGGGAAGCTCCAAAGCTGCAGGAAGAACAGGGCTGGGAGGGCGCGCTGGGACTGCTCTCCTGCTGCCCGGGGCCACCAGGTCCACGGGTCAGGGTGGCTGCGGCTAATCTGCTGCAAGAACCCGGGGCAGTGCCATGGCACAGGGGCTGGGTTCAGACTCATGCTCACACACTCAGCAGCATCCAGCCAGCCCTGAGGGCACTGAGGCTGACAGTCAAGTGACCAGCCTCCCAACCCCACCCGGCTCAGCTTACTAAGAGGGGCCAAGTCTTCAGCTCCAAACCCAGCAGCATGTTGGGATCCAGGGCCCCTGCCATGGGTATCCACACCAGCCCACCACTGCACTGGGTGGGTGTGAGGGTTACGGTGGCTGCACTGCCCCCACCCTGGACACCTGTATCCACAGATGTCATTGTGTGTGAACCTCTTTACGCCACTGCTGGGAGATGCTCTCCTCAGCCCAGTTTGAACCATGAGGCACTGAGGTTCCGAGAGGGAGGGTGACTTGGCCGGAAGTGGCAGGGTGGGAATTGAACCCAGAGCGCTGGCACTAGTGAGTCATGTGGCCTGTCACCCAGAGAAGCCTGGAGGGGAGGAAAGGGGAGAAATGGTGCTTTCGGAGAAGTGAGGCAGGATGCAGTCGCGGTTTGAGGAAGTTTGAGACAGTGCCCAAGTGGTGGTGGGTCCCACCCAAGGCTGCTGCACAAGCCAGGCAGGCTCTGAGCTAGGAGGGGACATGCAGAGGGGACACACAGACACAAAAGACTCTGACATGGGGTTTGTGGGAAAACCAGGCACTGGCTAGAGAGACAGGAAAAAAAAAAAAGTTGCAGCAATTAATTAATGTATCGGAAAACCAAGGGAAAGGTGAATGAGGACAGTGGTACCCATGGCAGGAATGAGGGACTGGGAGGGGGTCCTTCAGGGAAAGGAAAGGGGGTGGCTGAGGGGTTTGGGAAGTGCCGGCTGAAGGGAGGCAGAGGCACCAAGCCGGAGGGAGCAGCCGCAGCCTGAGCCTGGCTGAGGGGATGGGCAACAGAGTGGAGGCCAGAGAGCCAGCCTGGAGATCTGACAAGGAGGGGAGAGTTCCAGAAGAATGGGACAATGGGTCATACATGGGAACAGAAGAGCAGCACTCCGGAGGCGGGAGAGGGTGGGCCTGGACCACTCCAGGAAGGGGAAGCAGGAGTGGGCACGGGAGGCAGGAGCAGCAACACCTTGTAGGAGAACAGGGAGCAGGAGCAGGAGAAGGTCAGGAGCAGCCTTGGGATGCTAAGGAGGGAGGTCAGAACGCCTGAAGCAGGTAGGCCAGGTCAGGCCTCTTGCAGCCACAGCCCCAGGCCCAGGCCTGTGGCCCGGCCCAGCCCTGATAAGGAAATCCAGCCCTGTGTCGCCACTGAAAGCCAGCACAAGGCCTTCGCTGGGCAGGGCAGGGAAACAGCGCGTGCCCCGCATCCACTTGTTCAGTGCTGGAAGAATCTGACACCCAAGACCTCAAACGTCCAACACATACGCAGCGAGTCCCGCATACAGATGTGCTGACTATGGAACTGTTGAGGGGAAGGGGGAGGCAGTAATTCATGGAGGACTTCCAGGAAGAGGCTACAGTGAGGGTTGAACAACCCCCTTCCCCCTGCTCCTGACCCTGAAGCCCCAGGCCATACTTCAGAACTGTCTCAGGGAGGCATTTGAGATCTTGCTTCCTGGCAATGTGAGTAGTTTGGCTCAAATAAAATCTTATAAAAATTAAAAGAAAAAAAGAACTATCTCAGAGCTATAGTCTCCTGTGATTTAGGCCTTCTAGGCAAGAAGAGCTCACAGATTCAGACCCCTTAGGGAAGCCATGGCCCAGAGCAGTTAAGTGACTTGCTCAAAACCACACAGCCCTTCTGCAGCCCTGGAGCTCTCTAGCATCCTGCCTGCTGCAGACACAATCCCCCATGCCTGGGAGGTCGGGGAGGTCCATCTCATTCCTGCAGCCCATCAGAGCCTGGCCCTCCCCGGGACAAGTATGATTAGCCCCATCTCTCAGATGGGGAAATTCAGACTGAGGGGGGCTACATCAATGTCATGTGGCCACTTAGCGGCAAAAAACTAGCCCAGACCCAATCTCTGCTGACCAAGTTCCAAGTGCCCAGCACAGTGTTAGCTGCAGAAGTACCCAAGACACAGTCCTCGCCCCGTCCTCTCAGAGCAGGTTTGGTGCCCAAAACGATGGACTTGGGGCACCGTTGGGGATACGGAAGGGAGCAGCCCAATTTGAGGGGAGCTGCCTCTGGGTCCAGAGTTAAAGTCCATGCTCAGAGTCCCAAGAAAGAGGGTGCACCTGAGCTCCTGCACAGTCCTGACACTGCCATCTACCCCAGGGGGCAGCCCTGGGTCTAGGGCCGGGGGGTGGTGAATGAGCACCATGCCCTGGCCATTAACAGCAGTTACCCAAGAGAGATATCTCACTTCATCTTGCAGATGCGGATGCCAGTGTCACCGATTCTTAATCCCAGATGGCCCCGAGTCTAGGATGAAGGGCGCAGTGCACAGCTGCCCAGAGTTCTCGTGAGCAACTGGGGACCACAAGCAGCTCATCAGTTATGAGGGCAAGCGTGGCCCCCAAGCAGGGTCCCTCCAACTGCTGCTAGGGTCTGGGTGAGCTCCTAGGACATCAGCCCCCCACTGGGTGCTGGCAGCTTGGCCCTTGATCTCTTGATCCCTGCCTCCAATATCCAAGTGAGGGGGTCCATAAAAAGACAGTGGTCAAGATAACCCCAACACTTTGCCTCCCACTCCCCAGGTACCCAGCTCCTCATTCTGTGTCCTCATGCTCCCATCTGCATTTATGAAGCACCTACTTCGTGCTCTGCATCCAGCTAGACCCCGGGGGATTCAAATGTTCATACAAGAAGTGAGATTATTGCCCAGCTGGTGTGGGTCGACCCATGAACCAGGAGGTTACGGTTCCATTCCCCGTCAGGGCACATGCCCGGGTTTCGGGCTCGATCCCCAGTAGGGGGCATGCACGAGGCAGCCAATCAATGACTCTCTCATCATTGATGTTTCTCTCACTCTCACTCTCCCTTCCTCTCTCTGAAATCAACAAAGACATATTAAAAAAAAAAAAAAGTGAGACTACTGACGATCGAATGGGGGTCAGCGTGGCGACCTGGTTCATCCAGAAAGTCGCTGGGGATATGGCAAGGAGGCTGGACCGGGGACCTTCTCCAGAACCTTGAGTAGTTTCTCTGATTCTGTTTTTAAAGAGAACGTCCATCTCCTGGTGGAGCCCAGCCCCGGCGGTCCCACCCTGGCTTGGATGCCTCCAGGGCCTGGATCACTCCCCACCCACAACCTGCTCATTCCACCAGAGGCCCAGAGAAGGGAGACCATACTGTCAAGATCAGACAGCAGCTCAGTGGCTGTGTTTTGCATTGGGCACACCTGACACGGAAGGTCACAGGTTTCCTCCAGACCAGGCTGCTCCTCAAACACAGTTAACCCCAGGCAGGACTGCCCTCGCCTCTCCAGGTATCACCAACCCACCTCAACCACAGGTCCCTAAACTCAGTCTCCATCCCTGGAGGCGCAGGTCCAAAACACACCTGCTCCGCTTCAACACTCACTCCCCCTTTAAGAGTCTCTGGCCTCTGTACACCTCGCCCCTCCCAGGGGCCCCTTCTCAGCAGCCCTCGCTGAGGATGAAGCCTGTTCCTCCCCTGGCATCTCAGCTCAGGCTTTGCTCGTGCCACAGGGCACACTGGATCCGGCCAGCCTCCCCAGGAGGCTTCCCTCACTCCCCAGCTGCGGCCGGGAGCCCTGTCCTGGGACCACCCATCTGGTCCAGCTTTTTACAGGAATACAACCCACCCTCACTCTGGCCACATCCCCACCCAGGACCTAGTCTTTCCAGGTCCTGGAAAAGAGGAAGTGTTTACCCAGCTCCATGAGAGGACTGCAGCCTCTCTGTGCATGCAGAGCAGGGGTCTGCCTGGGCCGAGGACCACCCCTGAAAGCCAATGAGCAGATATGGGCTCTGAGAAGAGATCCCACCCTGCACCTCTGAGCCCTGCCGGCTGCAGGAGCCCCAGATGGAGGCTTAGCAACTTGCAAGCGACTTTGGCAGAGACCCAGTCCTGTTTCCCCATCTGCACTGCTTTCCAGGGCTTCTTTAGCCTAGGGGGGCCCTCCTCTGGGTTCGTACCCCAGACTTCCTCTGACTTGCACCCCTCCCCCCTCTCACTTGCTGTCCAGATGAGCTAGGAGGAGTTGACGCTGTCACGCTGGGACCGTCTGCTACCCACCCCCACAACCGCACCCCCAGGCACCCTGACCTCTCCGTGCGCAGTGTCCTTGCACCTCCGTCTGAGAGTCTTGCTCTCGGTCCTCGAGCTACAGCGGGCTGCTGGGCTGCGCGCAGGACCGGGGAGCAGAGCACCTCCCAGTCGGGGGTGCAAGCCCGGCAGGGATCCCCGACCTCCCCAGCCCCGAGGCCGCGAGCGCGCCCGGACCTACCCGCTCCACATCCCGCAGCCTCGGGGAGCCCGGGCGTCCGTCCCCGCCGCCACCTCCAGGTCTCCCTGCGCCGCGTCCCT